GATGTTTGTAAATCAAAAAACAAATCAGATTTGTAGCTCGGGTGGATGGTGTATTTCGGTGATATTATGTTCTTTGAATTGAACGGTTCAACTGCAAAGGTTTAATCGTTTGTTAAGGCAACATATTCAGAATTAACTTAAAGGTAAAGAAAGGTACGTAGTGTGGTCGTAACATCAATATATAGCTCACTACTGTTTCATAAAATACACGAATTCTGATGTCACTTCATAATGAAGTTTGGATTGAAGATGTTATCTAGAGAGAGATACTGAAAGCCTTGCATGTAAAATATCCAGCTCATAGGGTATAACATCACCAAATGTCTATATTCACTTAGGTATTCCCAGTAATTTAGGAAATTTATAATAACAATAATCAGTTTATTCTAAGCAGTGATTTTTCATGCATAATGGAATTTGTGTCATCCCCTCTTACAAATAAATGAATACATAGAACAGTAATGATTATAAAACCACAGAAACTGAACATGAATAGAAGAATAATAATACTGGTTGTAATTTTCACTTCTCTGGCATTTATCTCCTTATATTTACTCGCCGTGCTTTAGAATAAGAAGCATTTCTGACTGCGTTGACTCAGAATTTTACCTCCTAAAAACCATGCTCACAGAAAACAGTTACGCGAACCAATTTATTGACAAAAATATGAAAGATAAGCAGTCCGTACTGGTTACTGATTCAGTTCCAAAGTAAACCGTATTTATGAATTTGGAATTCAAAGGTGATCAGGCCTCAGAGATGTTCAAAAACCGTCCCTCCAAATCAGTTATAAAAATGTTCTTTGCTGCTGTAAGTTGTTGTCCGTATCTGTAAAAGGCAAGCTCCCTCATCTGAATGCCTCCATGTGAATCTGATAGTTCACATTATGGAGCATGGTACATTGGTCGTAGCTACAGAATGTTTTCCAAACAGATATAACAATACATTTCAGCATAGTTTTATATGGAAGAAAGAAAGGGCGTGCGAAGGAAGCTTTATTATGGAACACTTGAGTGACTTCTGTCACTCTACCTGCCCCGACCATGATTTTAATATCATCTATCAAAATTGTTGTTGTTTCTAAGATTCTAAAGGCAGAGGAAGCTTTGGTCATTCATGAATTCAAGCAAGACCTTTTGTACAAAAGAAGTACGTACAATTCCTATTGCTACCTTGATCATAGGGGGATTTATTTCTCTTTTTGTTTATTTAGTTAATCTATATGCATTTCTCTCATCTCTACCTTTATGATTATTACTGTTACTATTATTATTCTCACTATGAACTGTTCCTAGCATTACTTCACTTCTCTAACCTATCATTCTAAATCCAAAAAATGTTTTGCAGTGTTAAATTTTATCTTATCGAATTTCACATCATGTTATGTAACTTTTTTGTTTGCCTACTAATCTTATAATTTCACGCCCCCTTCCAATATCTATATATTCCATGAATCATTCTATATATGACATTTGTTTTACCATTTGATATTTAACTATGATTATAATCATAAACATTTTAGTTGCATTTCATACTACCATCATTCTAAGTAATGACACTTATTCAAGTGTTGGTTTGTAGGGATTTGATTGGTTACAGGATTTTCATCATGAGCTGACATTAGTTAGAGAACCACTGGAAAACCTGGGAGTACTGGACAGCTGTTTCGTCCTAGTTTGGGACTCTTCAGCAGTACGCACCCACCGGGATTCGCCTTGTAACCAGAAGGTCCTGGGTTCGAATCCCGGTGGGTGCGTACTGATGAAGAGTCCCAAACTAAGACGAAACAGCTGTCCAGTACTCCCAGGTTTTCCATTGGTTCTCTAACTAATGTCAGCTCATGATGAAAATCCTGTAATCACACTTATGTTCAAATTTCTTCACGGAGTGTAATTTCTTAAAAAGTATATATATATATATATACGATTGTACAGCTTGGTAATAAATTCACTGAAAAGTCTCCTCAGTGAATTTTGTGTTCTTCACATAAAACTAGTACCAAATATGGCATTGTTAAATTTTTAAATTTTATCGTTTGGGCAAAAATTTTTAAGAAATTTCTCCTAGTTTTACCCAAAGAAAAGAGGAAGTTATTAATAGAGAGAGTGTTTAGTATCAAACAAGATTACTTCAGCCAGTTGCCTGCAAGAATAAAAATGCCCATCAGTAACACTGTCAGTCCATTGGGTAATAAGTACATCACTAACCCTGCCTTCAGCCTTCGAAGTCTTACACAATATAATACAGTGTTCTGAGAAGCCTGAAAAAGAATGGGCGAAATACATGAATTGATAAATTGTAAGAGAAGAGGTTAAGTGATGCCAGAAAGTATCAGCTCCCTTATGTAGTGAGTCAAACGAAAGGTTTTCTTAAAAACCACCAAGATATGAGATGACCAACAAAGATCTGACGAGATGGGTAATTTACGATTTATTTCCTATAGCAGTACCGTCGAAACTACAAGAATCATGGGACTGGATCAGTTCATGCAAGTCTTCTTCAAGTCTGAAGCTAAAATTAACAGATTGACACTTAGAAGGATTCAGTTAAGGACCATTCGAATATGACCATTGTTTGACCTCAAGCAGGAAAGTATTCATATCGGAACAGTTTAATACAGAAACGACTCGGACAGAAACTATCAAACAGTTTCTTCTTTTTGCATCAGCCATTCAACAGAAATGACGAAACATATCATCCCTCTACAAAAATTAACATGAAATAACAAAACCGTTAGTCAGATGTCATGTTAAGTTAGAAATTACACAATAGTCGACATATATAAGAGTGATTAGAAAATACTGAAATACGACTTCCCTTTTCAAAGCAGTTTCTTGACATATTGTACATGAATTAGCTAAAGATGTCTGACAATCGCATAATTGATCTCATCACGGGTGCATAAGTTGGGTTATTTAACAACAAATTTCCAATGTTAATTAGATGAAAAACTGCTTTAGCTGGTTGGAATTTGTTTTCCAATCTTTTCACATTCATAAACATCAGCAGAATGTAGAATGACAGTAAAAGTCAGGGAAGTCACAAATTATATCAGTATGAAAGACACATGAGCAAATGTATTTTACAGTAAATTAGTTTGTTTAAATTGAGAATGAGTATAGACTTAGTGTCAGTGGTGCAGTGGTAAAATGCTCGCCAACTACGTATGTGTTCTGAGGAGCGATACCAGGTCGGCTCACTCCTAAACCTCCCGTAGCCCGTATTAATCTCGGTAGGTTAAAAGTGACGCTAGCAATCCCACCCCCGTAAAAATAAAACCACTGCTACTGAAACTTCACAGCTCAAGCTTGAAGCCCTATGTTCCACTCGGAAGGTAAAAGAATAAAAAATGAGCTGCAGTCATTGAAACAGCTGTTAGGTATTTAGGAAATCTCTTCTCTACATACAGTATACACTAATGATTGATACTTTTCGTTAAAGATTACTTATGTCAGTTAGTGAACTATATTATAGAGATACTCTGACTTTTATTCTTGACAGAACAGCAATGCAGTTCAGATACTTTTGATTTTCAGAAGCAACTATTATCAGACTTCACTTGCGAGAGTTGAATTTTCTGTTGCTTCCCCTGTGCAAGCAAATAAATCTATCATACTTTCTGATTCACGTCGCATGGATGAGAATGTCAGAGATAGAATCGGAAAAGCAAGACAGGCATTCATTACTCTGAAATGAGTGTGGAAATTTACTGCTGTCAGAACAAGAAGCAAGATTAGGAGTTTCAACACTAATATCAAGCCAATGCTTCCGTATTTAGTTCAGAGACTTGACACGGCACGTAGGGAATTTCCATCAGTATGCAGACTTTTATACTGAAGATCAGATGACCAGAAAGAACAGCAATGAGGAACTCTGATAACGAACCAAATAAGTACCTTGTGCCCAACAAAAATGTAGAAGCAAATGGAAGCGGATTGGATTTATGCTAAAGAAATGGTTGAGTGAATCACACATCAGACTCTGGAGTGGAAGTAAATCGGGAAACAGCGAGTTGGGCGTTGGGAGGAGGATGATATTGAGGAGATCAGAGTTTTCGGGCAATAGTGAAACCAGCTAAAGAGGAGTGGAAAGAACAGGAATATATGGAGATGTACTGTTGAATCCCCATGTTCCATTCGGAACTTCCTGATTCATTCCTCAACATTCGGCCTTGATGCACTTCATTATTATAAGTGTAGTCGATAAGTGCATCATTATTATTATTATATTATTCGTCGCTTGGATTCCTAGCAAAACATACTACTGTAGTAACATGTCTCTATTTCACTCAGTCAACTAATTTATTATATTATTATTCATTCGTAGCGCTCCGAGTGGAACAAATGGCCTCAGTGGCACATACTCAGTTTGTACAAGAGTAAATTCAAGCTGAGTTTACTTTATTATTGTTAGTTATTAATAATAATAGTAACTTTCTATAGTTGGTTTCTAAGGATTAGTTTTCTTTTTACGAGTTGATCACGGAATGATATCAGTTAGACAACCACTGAAAACCAGGGAGTACTGGACAGTTGTTTCATCCTAGTTTGGGAATCATCGGCAGTACGCACCCACTGGGGTTCGAACTCAGGACTTTCCGGTTACAAGGCAAGCTCGTATACCATTCAGCCTCTGGGACCCGATTCAATGGTCAGTGCATGAATTCGTGATTTAGCGCGATCCGAACCAATGTCGTCGGAGAAAATCTATCCTCACTCACGATTAGATGAATTACACTGGTCACGACTTCTCACTAGAACTCCAGGAAACTCTATACTGTAGCAAGTCACTAGCGTGTATCAGATTATTTTCTACAGTTGGCTTGTAATAGTAACAACAATAACCCTCACGGCGAACTAGTTTGCATTTGGCTGAAAGTCAATACTGTAAGAAGTATTCTGACCAATAAACATCAAACTGAAACTTTTAACAAATCACAGTTTTGTTTGGACAACAAAACACAAATATTTGATTGGTTGTTAGTACAAAACAAAAATACTGTAAACAATCGTTACAAAACGCATGAATTTTGCACTTAAATACGTGAAATTCATTACATTCACATAATTGTTTACAGAGAGTTAAAGGTGAGTTTCCTTTTTATAAACTACATGTCTATGTTTTTTAGTATTCATTACACACAGCATCGTGATAAGATTTTCTTTAGAGATCATCATATTTGCATATTCAGTTGCCAAATTTTTAGTTTACTTTATCTGCGTGATTATCAGTTATAACCTCTGACTACATTTGCTCATGAAAGGATAAAACTGTTCCATAATAGATCAGGTGAATGTTAAATGTACAGTACATCTATCAACTTTAAATTCAAGATAATGCACTTTTATGTAATTCTCCCTGTAATGAAACATCCTCTAAAGAAGGTTTCATGGAAATCTAAATGATGCATAATTCTTTGTTATTATGATATAATTACACTTAGCATAGTGTTGTTTGTACTGCATATACTGAACATGTACAAAGCCGATGCTTTAATGAGTTTCCACATTAATGCATGCATTTACTTGTCTAATCTACTATGATGAATTCTTTGTATATCATCAGAAAGTGTTTGCGTACTGTAACATTCCCTGTACAGAAATTTAGATGTTTACTATCCATCATTTATATCAAAATTTTGTTCTGTTTAAGTGGGTCCATTATTTCATTTATATCTGGTGTTAAAAAATTAAATAGTGTGATGTCCGAAATAATGGCGAAATTACTTAGAATAGTTCAGTTTGTTCGTCAAAAGCATTTATGTGATATAAACAAATCGACTGCCTCTAACAACAGGAGTGTAACGCAAAGGTGGAAATTTATTCACTGGATATGTATAAAATTGTACTGCCGATTAGTTCTTTGTCTAAAGATCCATGTAAAATTGTTATAATAATATTAATAATAACCCTCATAATTAAACTATTGAATTCTGATCAATAATTCTGTTTAAATAAACTAACTAACATTGAAATTCCACTCATCACCCTTTTTTGTCTAGTGATTTCAATTTAAAATTTACAATGGGAAAAAGTAAAATTTCATCTTATGGTCCAAATGGAGAAACTTATAATCCAACATTAAGAGCTCCAGAAGACCACAATGCTGATGACGATGCAGAAGCTCTACGTAAAGCAATGAAAGGTTTGGGTAAGTCTGCAGAGATGTATGTCAGTAAAGTTAACGAAACATTTATAAAGTATGCTGAAAATAATGCTTACAGCGCACTAGCTATTCTAGCAGTGAAAATTTCCATTGACTTTTCTATGGTCATCTGTCGATATAATTACATCGGTTCCTATTCTTTAACTGAATAACTGTTCTATTCTTATTGACTGGTTTGCGTATGTGTGACATGTAGTATAAACATGTTTTTGCACAAGAAGATTATCTTAATCGGTTGTATTTGGCATACATTTTCCACTGTAATGCTGATCAGTGTCCTTACAAAAACTATTCGACTAGAAAATCATTTAAATCTACATATCAGTTATGTCTATTGCGTAAAATAACGCTGTCGAACTATTTCCGTGTAGAAGAAACACCATATCACTCACATGTTAAGTTATCTTCGATTCACTCTGTTTTAATATCTAGTTCTAGCTATATACAGAAATTCTGAATGTGAAATAACGGAACCAGAGTTATTCCGCCTTCCATGGTATAACGTATTTCATCTATAGCAGCCTATTAATCCAAATACACCATACATAATTACATACATACATAAATGCAAAACTACTAATTCTACTAAAATTATGAGGATGGTTTTTTCTCCCTGTCTCTATAGAAACAATGTTCATGAGTACCTTAAAATTCCTCAAAAAAAAAAAAACGTGAATAATAATTTAGTATCGTTTCATATTAACATTAACTGGAGTTATGTGAAGAAGTTGAATTTAATCAGACTGTGCTTGACTAGAAAATATTCATGTTATTATGGAGAGTGGATTGCCTTTTTACATATTTATTTAGTCACTTGATTGCCAGTCTCAGCTTCAAAGTGTTTTCCAACTTCTGACATCTAAGTAGCCGGATTATATATTAGTAACATTACACAGACTTTTCATAGTTCCCTTTTAGTCATTTAACGATAAGTTCAGTTTTTTACCACAGGTTAATACAGTGAATGCAGCTATCAACGTGTATCGGTATTTACCGAAAAAAAAAACATTAGAAGAAAGTTGTTTCCATCAGATGACCAGTTCTATGAGAACAACATTCTCAACAATATGATGCCCAAAACATTATTTTGTAGTTTATGCAACGCATAGATAGGTTGCGCAGTAAATCACATGGGTCAATAAGTTTTAAACAAAGAATTCTGATTTGTTTACGCGCTAAAATGTTTTTCTTGACTTTATATCTTTGACAAATAGTGATACGTGTATATAGTATTAAATAATGATTAATTTCACTCTTGTCATTCAAAACATGTTTACCGATAGACGATTTCACCTTAATCACAAGGCAACTGATATGTGTTTTACGAAATAATGTATATGATACTTTAATTGAACTACAAGCATACTTTAAGTCAATTATGAAGCATAGTCTTTGAGAAAAACTGGAATGTCAGTGGCAGAACAACTTCTCTCGATGTTTCAAATGATTAAGAAACTTAGCCTATGTAAATTACTTCTACAGATGGTCATGCCAAAGGGAACCGAATGTAACCGTTTATATCATATTTGTTTGTGATTTACCTATCTATGAGGACTTCCATTTAAAGGGCTCTAAATTGTAAGGAAGTGAAAGGTAGAGATTCGAAGACATTCATAAAGCCTGCCTTTATGTGCTACATTAGTCAGTCAAATGCCAATAAACCATTTCTTTAAAGCTCAAATCTGATGTGATTTTGAAATTAACACTAGACAGTTTATTTAAAACCCTATCTGTGGCCCCTCCAGTATATTCGACTTGCAGTGATTATTTATCCAGTCATTAACGTTGGTTGGAATTTAACTCTGATATGATTGAAACCCATCAATAAAACCCACGTGTTTTTGTCAACCTACTCGTTTATTATGAAGCCAGTGAATTTCTTGTGCTATTCAGAAATATCGATTGAATTTGAAGTAAAAATCAAAGCTGGCATAAAAGTCCGATTATCGGCTACTCAGTTTACAGTTAATATTCAAAATCAAATTTATTACTGAAGTGAAACAGGGTTCGATTACATTGGAGTTTTATAGCTAAGTTGGCAAAATATGGATTCCTACAGACTTAATTTCTGTCAACGTCTAACATGAATTACAGTAAACTATGATGCATCATAGTGACATATCATTCAGTTAAATGATACCGTAGTCCATGGGGCTGATATCTTACAATCAACCTACAGATTCGTACAAATAAAATCAGAGTTTTAAAACAAAACTGTCTCATGTAGCTTAATGAGAATTGACAGAAACATTAGGTTCCTTTAGAACGGACTCATATGAGAAACTCGTATTTATCTTCCGTAAGTAATATCTTAATTAGAGAACCAGCGTACACTCTGTTTATTAAAAAGCATCAATATAGCGCTACACAAAACTTTTCTTGCATTCATTCTGTGGCGCAATAATCAAACGGAAATATGGAAAAGATATATTTACTACAGCAGAAATAAAGAAACACTTTTCTGATGAACTTTTTTCAAGAGTGAAGTATGTGTGGATTAATAAAAGTGGGGATTCAGCAATGAATTCTTAGCTTCAACTCAAACTGTATCGCAATATTCTTACTTAGTACCCATGACTAATTGTTCTAAAGTCTTACCATATTTTTTAACTGTAACCACCTTCTCTGTTTTTGTCATACACACTGGGCTTTAAACTAAATAAGCTTATAGGTAGGCAATTTACTGCACTAGGTAAATTCATTTATCACGTTCCTCAAATAATTTTCCCATCTTGTGTAAGAAATATTCAGTTTATTCTGATAAAATAATAAATATCTAAAGCTAAGGATGTGAAGGGTGAATTAACCAGATACAGATATCAGATAATTAGTAAGATTTGACAACAGTCAACGAATCTAGACTTTCTTATTTTCATCGTTTAAAGCCAAATATCCCTTGGACGTTAGAACACAAACCAGTCAAACTTCCAATCACAGATGTTACAACTGATTTGTTTCATTTGGAATAGACTAAAAGAAGCCTAGTTCTACAATTGAACATTTTTATTCTACTTGTAGGTACAAGTGATTTGTAGAATTTATAATGAGTCCATGAAACCATAGTGCGTCGGTGGTATAGCGGTTAGGACGCTCGCCGACCATGCACATGGTATGGGGTTCGATCCCCGGCCGACGCACTCCTTTACCTCGCTGAGCCAGAAATAATGCTGGTGAAGAGGAAAGGTTGGGCATGAGGCTAGCAACCCCATCCTGTAAAAATAAACACTGCTACAGAAACTTCAAGCCACTAGCTTGAAGCCCTATGTTCCACTGAGAACGTGAAGGAAAAAAAAATCATGAAACCATATGTGTTTTTGTTTTTTTGTTTATGCAGATTATATTGGCGACAACTTTATCTTCATGTATTCCATGTCTTATGATGGTTATCTCTTCTTGATAAAAGTGTTTTCTACAAAATTGGAACTTAGAAACCTCCCATCCTTAATTATTATCACTATTACTATTACTACTATTATTATTTTGCTTCTCAATCTCTTATATTCACAATTATAATTTTGTTGCAAAGTATCTGAAAACATTCACTAGGAGTTTATACAGAAAAGCCAAAAACCATGTGGTTTGTGAATCGCAAGCTGCAAATTCGATTAATTGTATTAACTTTTAGCTCAAGAGACTAATCAGAATTCGGGTGGTTTGAAATAATTCGGCTGGCTGAGCTAAGTCTAACCAGCAACACCACTGATAAGTCCACCTCCAAACTAGCGAACTGGTCAACCGCTGTTTAAATCACTTCACTCTGGCTAGCGAGGACTACCGGCTGATGTAGGTGATATCCAACTACTTACTTCAGTCAATCAGCCGTATATGGCATCATGCAAATGTGTGTCCGATTGTTTTATAGGCTCGTTAGGCAGATGTACAAGCTTCCATGTGTTCCAAATGAGATATAAAAACACACAATCTAGTCACAGGTAAAACACTATTATCTCCTAAAATATAAGTGTATTCGACCTATGAATTCCAAATGAGATGAAGCATAAATTGTGTATTGCATAGTACGTTAGCACCAAATAAAAATATTACGAGAATTAGACGAAAACAGGGATCACTTTCTAGAAATAAATAAGTCAATATAGACTGATAAATTTGGTTTAGGAAAATAAGCTAAAGAATATCACACTATTTTTGAATACATCTTATCATTCTTTATTGCCCTGTTTTTTTTAAAAACTTCCTGTTAATAACCCTACGCTGTACGAACCTGGTACTGTAGCTACTCATCTGTGTTGGTAGTAGTCTACATAATCAAGCCTGTTTTAATAATAGCTTAACTCTAACAAACAACATCTCTATGGATTAAAAATTATTGATTAGGTCATAATTTTTCTCCCAAATTTCCGGAAAATAAGATGACCTATATTATTTAATTTACTAATCGTTGAAATGGCAGTAAAAACAAAATCAAGATAATTGTAACTTGTGAATAAACAACTGCTTTATTGGACACTGAAGAGGAATACTGTTCAATTATTTGTTGTCTGATTTTTTTTCTATGAATAAGGAAGAATGTCATTAAGAAGTGAAATAGTAACGCCCTCATGAACAGTAAAAATGAAATAAGGGGTCATACAACTAACTTTTTATTATCTGATTTATTTATTAATAAATGCAGTTAACAGCAGGAGAATTTAGTTGTGTCTGTCTTCAAATTCACCTCTTCAATGCTTCCAAATTATATTGATATTTTATCATTTCCTGTAAGATGTGAACTTGATTTCGAGCTGCTAACATAAATTGATGAGTGCTTCGGTGGCACAGTGGTTAGGACTCTCTCTGACCATTCAATGGTCCAAGGTTCGATCCTCTACCGACGCACACCTGATATCTATGGTCGGCCTGCAAAATTTGGGCTACCGATATCGCATGCTGAAAATTCCATACTTCTACCAAAAATACGGTGTGGAATCAAGCTGTAATCAAAAATATAAAAAAAAATAAATAATTCATATTTGTACTACTGTAAA